TGAGACTAGCATGCTTTGTCATACATAAATGATATGTTTGCTCGTGTGTGGTGATGGATACCTGTCACCCCCGTGTTGGGAGGTGACGACAAGAGAATCAGACATTCAAGGCCATCCCTAGCTACATAGATAGTTCCAGGCCAGCTTGGGATACATGAGACCCTGTCACAAAACAAACAGACAAATACATAAATACAGCCTTAATAAACTCAACTTCATTTCTTAAACATTTAAGAGGGTTAAAGCTACATTCAGTGGTAGAATCCTTGCCTAGTAGGCACAGACTCTGGATTCATTCCCCAGGCAGCAATAAAACAAGCAGCAAAAATCTATATTAAAAATACTTTAACATATAAAACAGGTGTCACATGCCTAGTGAGGCCCATCTCAAAAAGCCACACCACCAAGGAACCATGGAACTCCAGTTTCAGTGCACCCCGTGCCAGCTCAATGCTGCCTTCCCAGCAGCCTGCGCACCCCCAACTGCCTCCATCCCCACTGAAGCGACCATTGTGAGCCTCAGTGACCATGACCAGAGGTCCAATAGGCTGCTGTTCTTTAAAGAAACACAGACATTTTACAAATGCTGCTACTTATGAGCGCAGCCTCCTGTAACTGACGCCCATGTCTGGAAGCCCTTTCCAAATGAGACCAGTACTTCCCAGGCTGGAAAGAAAGTGAGGGTCAGGTGCAAGCTCCCAGCAACCGCAGAGACTGTGTGAAAGAGGCTTCTAGATTTCAGCCCAGCCCTGCCTTTGGAAGCAAGCTCCATTTCAACTTCCTGAGTTAATAAGCCACTCTCAAGGCTCGGGCAGCCACCGTGATCCCAGGCTTCAATCGCGGAGATCAGATTATGCCTCCTCCAGTAGCTAATGAGCCTTAATGCTCTCAGAGGGCGATGCTTTCAGACCAGCTTTTGAGACGCAGCTTATTTTCCAGTACGGTAGACTTTCTTGCCAAGCAAGATTTGGTTTCAAAACTGCACTAAGTTCTAGAAATTCAAGTTTGTTTCTTGGAGGCTCTCAACACTTCAAGAGTGCTAGGACACCTTCTCACGCCTACTCCTGCCCTCTGGGACTTGGGTAGAGGATTACCTTAGGGAAGAACGAAGCGCAGCTCACTGGGGCTTTGGCCACAGAGACTAAGCAAATCCTACACCGGGACTATTTGGGGTTGAGGAGCTGCGACGTGCAAGCTACTAGCTACCCGGAGGCATCTGCTTACCCTTAAGCTCCACCTCCCACTTCTGAACATTTTCCTAGAACAACAATTTTGAGGAAACAGCCTGCTAGCACCCTATTTTTCAACAAGAGAAAGGAAGCAGTGGGGACTGGGGATGGGTGCAGCTCCTGAGGCGGCTCTAGAGGGGCAGATGTAGTAGAGCACACCTGTGCTGCCAGCTCTTTAGAGCAAGAGGCAGGAAAGTCAGGAGTTCGAGGCCAGTCTGGTCATTGTAAGATCCTGTCTCGAAACAAAAACAAAAACTGAGGTCCCGGAGCCTTAGAGGGTGCAGCTCAGTGGCAGAGCTGTCTCCTAATTGCGTGAGGCCCTGTGGACAGGCACCAGTAGGCTTGTGAAACTCCAGCTTGCTTGATACTCATAGACAGAAAATTAAGTTCAAACACTGTACTTCTGTTTGATACAGTCTTAAGGAAATTAAATACAGCAAGAAGTGGATTTGTTTTGGGATAGTGGACCTACAAAAACACTTTGTTCTCTGTGACATGAGTGTGTGTGTGTGCACGCGTGTGCAACGTGCGCATAACACACACACACAATACATAAATGCTTGTTTTTGAAATGGGATCTTGCTTGCCTCGGGTTTGTATAGATTCCCCTTGTCTCCACCTCCTAAATGATACAATTGCAGGAGTGACTCACCACACCCAGCCCTCTCCAAGTTGTGTATTTAACATTCCTGGGTATTAAAACATTAACATAGTCTTTAAGACAGGCAGCATACCATTACATGGTTTTTCTATGGGGTTTTGTTCATTCGTTTGCCTGGTAAACAAAGGTTGAAACATTGATAAGTACTAATTACAGATGTTGATTATCAAGTTTATCGCCTGCCTATCGTGGTGGCAGCAGGACCGCAAGTTCTAGGACAGCCTTTGCTGCATGGCAAGACCTGGTCTAGGCAAGGACTGGAGATGTACCTTTGTGATGGAGACTTGTGTACTACAGCTCAGCGGGGGGGAAACCTGAGTGCCAAACACAACGCCCTGGTGTTGGGTACCCAACACCACAGGGAAATAAGAATTTTAAAAAAGATTGTGTATAGAAACTACAAGCCAGGGTAATGACTCACGCCTAGAATCCTGGCTCTTGGGAGGCTGAGGCAGGAGGATGTCTTTGGGTTCAAGGTCAGCCTGGGCTACACAGTGAATTCCAAGCTAACCTGAGCTGAACTGCAGGGTGAGACCCTGTCAGAAAAGAAAGAAGGAAAACCTACACTCGCATGCCCAAGAAAACCGGCCATTTAGCAAATGGGATTGCCATGTGACTTCCTTCCCATCTCCCCTTCTGCTTCGTGTCACTCTTCTGGAAGAGTCTATCAGGATAGAAATTACACCCCAAACTCTGTTTCTAAGGGAGAACACTGAGTGTCCCGGTGACAGGATTATCCTTGGCATGGCAGAAACCTTAATCCATCTGGCCTAAGGAACCTTGCACTGGTGTTAAAAGCCACCCTATGTGACTCCCATCTCAACTGCTTTCTCACTCCCACTAAGCTCCTAGGGCACACAAGCTCATCCCCGCTGTTCATCTCCTAAAACAGCCCCTACCCTGGCCCCTTCCACCACCACCCCCAAACTCCACCTGCCAAATCCTATCTGCCTTAAACCTCCCCAGCCCTACTCACTGTCTCCAGGTTTCTGAATTCCTGGAGACAGCTTCCCAATGCAGTCCCCTACAGGAACTAAAGCTAGCAGGGTCTGACTCACTCAATTCTCCTCCCTCCTCTCCCAGCTCTGCTTGCTCCACACAACAGAGCTCAACATAAACAGAGCAAACAGAGTCAGATCTCAGTTAAGCGTCTGCGGCATAGGAAACACCACCTCTAGCTCCATGCCGTTTGACTACTGTCAAAAATTGTACACAAATTCCACAATATACAATTTATAAAATAACTATCACTTATAAAGCATTTTCTGGGTCAAGGACCCTTAAGACTATCCCAGAAAGGACTGACTTTATATCCAAGCCACTACAATGTCTTCACACTACTGAAGATTTTCATTCTTAAAAAAAAAATCATAGATATATTTATTTTATGTATGTGAGTGTTTTTGCTTGCATGTATGTATGTAGGTCTGGTTCCCTGCAACTGGAGTTACATGTGAGCCACCATGTGGTTGCTAGGAATTGAACCCATGTCCTCTGAAAGAGCAACAAAAGTGCTCTTAGCTTCTGAGCCACCTCTCAGCCCCACGATCTGCTGTATGAGATGTTTATGGTTATATCTGCTAGACTAGTTTTCAAAAATGGGGAGAAAAGTCCAAGTCCACAGGCAAAGTGGTAGCTGCCTGTACTCCAGGGCTCTGGAGGCAGAGGCCAGGGAACATGACTTGAACCTACAAACTGAAGGCTAGCCTGAAAAACATAGCAAGAAAGTTCTAGAACACAGGTTTACTCACTATCCTAGGGCATGTCTTCACACCCACTAGTGCTGGCTTATGTGTAAAAAAGCTTTCCAAAAGCAACTAAAAAGGAAGCAATATGGCAGGTTGCAAAACCACATGTCCTGTGACGGAAGAGAAAACAGCCTCAGTGTTCGAGGACTAGTAACTGACGATGGGGTGAAATTTCTTTTTATTTCTGGGAAGGCGGACATTCTGGGGAGGATCAAGACAGTCTCACAGGGTCCAGGCTAACTTAGAACTCACTGTGTACCCAAGAATGACCTTGTATTGCGCCATCTCCACTTCTCAGATACAGGGAGTACTACGTACACACGTATGCCTGGCGGGAGTGAAAGTTCATGCAGGAATTCAAAAGTTCTATTATGAGCATCTCTGAAGAAGCAAAACATCCCTAGGCACCTGGCTAGACAGACCTAAGATGCAAGAATACGCTGGAAGGAGAGGATGCCTGCTGGGAGACAGGACCAAAATGCTTTGTGAAATGAGAAACCGGAAAAATCCCAGTGGTCCGCCACACATTCACACTTCAGATCACACTCTATAGCTAGATCATGTAATTATAACAGCTGCTGCTCCTTAAACAGACACTGTGCCGCTGCATCAGCGGGTTCCAGAGATGCAACCAGTTTCACATTGAAAACATGAAGGAAAAAACAAACCTGTGCCCCCACGGGGTGTGCAGACTTTTCTCACCATTGCCCCCTAAGCTGGACACTGTGACCACTATTCACACAGCGCGTCTGTTGGGTGTGACAGGTCATCAAGCTTATCAAAAGTCCACAGGAGGATGGAGGCAGGTGCTGGGGCAGGGGTGGGGAGAGGTGGGAGAGTGGGGGGCTGGAGGGGCTAGGTCAATGACCTCTTACAGCAAATCAACCCCCAAAAGAGGTGCGTTTTAATCCTATCACTGGGTAAGTACAGCCTTGCCTTCCAGGAGAGTCACCTTAGACAGATTCCCAGGTGGAAGCCCTCATGCCACTCCAGAGTGAGGTCAGCGCCCCCCTACAAATGAGAACGTGGAGCTCAGAATTTAATATGCACACCAAAGCTCCCCAGCCACTACCACTATGTGTTGACGCTGTCCCCTGGCCTGTCTGACCTGAGTGTGTTCTAAGCCACAGGCTTCAGGGAAGGCTCCTACCTGCCTTTGTCATTCCCTGAATTATTCTAGCCCACCCCCACCCCACATTCCCACAATCCCAGCACCTGAAGCACGCACTGAACAAAATTCTGATCTGGAAGGTACAAAATGTCCACACCTTCCATGGTGGAATCTTGCCTGCGGGTGCTTCCAGAAAAGCTGGAAGGCAACCTGGGGCCTCTTCAATCCTCTGAGCCTTGGCTCTGACTCACCTGAATGTGCATGGCGCCCTCTACTGCTTCTGCGAGGTTAACGCAGCCACTGATGAGCGTCGACTGCTGCTCTGCGCTCAGGGAGCCTTTGAGAGAACCAGACTGCTCCAGCGATTTCAGCTCCTTCCTGCAAAGATGCGGAGAACAGTCACCATGGCAACTAAAGTCAAACTTAAAGGCAGAGCTGGGCAGACCCAATGCAAATTCACAATGAGACACAGCCTTACACCTTTTAGATGCTACTATCAAAAAATAAGGAGAAGGAAGAGGAAGGAGGAGAAAGAGAAGAGAGAGAGAAGGGAGAAAGGGGGGAAGAGGGAGAAGACGTGATGGTGAAATGTGGAGAGAGACTCAAACCCTTGTTCCATACTGAGGAAGTAGACAGTGCCTCAACTAGGGAGTCAGCCTGGAGATGCCTCAAAACCATAAAAACAAGCACATGATCCCGCTGCTTCTAAGTAACAACCCAAGAATTGGAAAGTCTTTTGGTGGGAGGGGTTCAAATTTGTGCATATGTGGGTGCACAGAGAGGCATGCACGTACACGTATGCAGTATGTGTGGAGTCCAGGGGTCAGCCGTGGATTCCATTCCTCTGGAGCCATGCACTGCTTTTGGAGACAGGGCTGCTCAGCGGGCCGAGGCTCGCTGCTCCAGCTAAAAGCCCTGGGGATTCCAAGTACACACTACCACACCAGGGTCTTTACATGAGAGCTGAACTGAGGTCCACACTTTACACGCTTCACACGGCAAACACTAATACAGTTCACTATCTCCTCAGGCCCCCAAACACAACCTTGAGGAGGTTCTACACAGCCGGTTCACAGTAGCGCTGTGGAAGCTGATAACAGAAAGTAACTGGAGCATAGACACGTGATCGAGTACTATTCGTCCTGAAGGAGGAGGAGAGGGAAGTAAAGCGTGTCCTAGCCAAAAGGAGGACCACTCAGTCTCTAAAGGGGAAGACACTCTGGCACACGCTGTATGGCTGTTCTTAAAGGCATCGTGCCAAGTGAAACCAGCCATTCACAAAAAGGCAAACCCTGTGACAGGTCACACTTGGTTATGGTACCAAGAGCAGTCAACTAGGAAAAGAACGCAGCGTGCTGGTGCCCAGGGCTGAGGGTTTGGGGAAAGAGGAGTTAGAGGCTACTGAATGCAGTTTCTGCTCTGGAGGGTGGAGAGCTTCTAGGAACGGTGGTGACAACCACACAGCACGCACAGCCCGTGCCTCATGCACCGCCTGCTCTTAAGATGATGAGATAACAGACTTGGGGACATGTATTTTGTCACACTGAAACTAACTCCATGGTGGGGTGTGGCTATAACCAACAGTTCATTCTGCTTCCTGCCTCAGTCCCCTGGCATGGGAGAGTCCAATGAAAGTATCGTCTTAGCCAGGTGTAGTGAATCTATGATCCTGCCACTTGGAAAGGCTGAGGCAGGAGGAACATGGGTGTATGAAACCAGACTGGACCACATAGCGAGATTCTGCCAAAGAAAAAGGGGAGTTAGGAGAGGGAGCCAGTGCCATGCCGTGTAAGCTGCGCAGTAACACCGGGCATGCAGTTTGAATGCGGAGCCCACATTCTCACAAGCTATATGCTGCCGGCACTGTTCACGTGGCATGAACCACTGAGCGGGCAGGGCACATACATGACCACACGTAGCTGCCCAGGCACCACCTGGGCCCCCAAGTTATACCACAGATTTTTTTTACCAGCAAGTCAAACACCTTTTAGTTCATTTTACATCACAGGTTTCAGCTTTTGAAGAGGATATACATCAAAATGGTGTGCGTTTATAGAGTCCCACGTGATGTTCTGATACCGGTACACATTGTCTAATGGCCAAATCACAGCACATAGCCACCTCGCATTTTGCAAACATTCAAAATCTCTCCTAGGTTTGTGAAAAATATAGCTCATACAGCACATGGGACACTTGGTCCCCACTGCTCATCCTGCCCCTGCCCTTCCTCTCCCTCTCCCCCAGCCTCAGGTAACCACCATTCTACTCTCAACACGTAAGTAAGGTCACATGTGACATTCCTTTCTGCAGTCATTTTTGTCTTCAAGCCTCTGATGTCCTTGATCCCAAAGCCAGCAGGAGCACACCGCAGGTCTGTGGAAATGAGGGGGCCACACACTGCAAGACCCATGGGTATCTCAGGAAGAGGGTGGCAGACAGAGCTCACACAGGGGTCAAGCTTGGGCAGTCCAGAGGGAGCCAGGGAAGTGGGCTCTCCATGTTAGATGCTGTCTGAAAGCGGTACAGCTAAGGATCGGATTCCTCGACGTCTCACATATGGACGGCCAGACCTATGCCAAGGCTGTGGGCAAGGAGCAGCAGGCATTCTTTCCCACCAACAGAGGGCACATGGCATCTGCGTGGTCCTCGTAATCTTCAGGGCACCCTGTGGCCTTGCTTTTCTATAACTGGATGCGGTTAGCCTTGCTGTACCTTGCTAGCACAAGGCTGGACTGGAAGCCCTGAGGAGAGCAGGGGCAGCTCTGAGAGCGAGGGAGTCTCACGGCATCGGGGCTGTGCCCTGGTTTAGTTTCAGTTTCTTCTCTCTTAAAACTATCGTTTTGATTTTAGTTTTAGGTAGAAAGAGAGTACCTTCTGTTGCTGGAAATTAGGGGGGGGAAGATGTGTCAAAATACACAAATAAGCTTCCATATTATCTTTAAGCAAAGGGTTTCCATGTGGTGATGAATCTACACTGCCAGCTTGACAGGATTTAGAATCACCCCGTCGCACACCTCTGGGCAGGTCTGCGAAGGTGTGTCCAGAAAAGCTTAACTGAGGAGAGGAGACCCAACTTTGGGCAGTGCCATCCCATGGGCTAGAGGCCCAGACTGAAGGAGAAAGCAAGATGGTCGGTGGTATAATCTCTCCTCGCTTCCTGACTGGGACCCAAGGTGGCCAAATGCCTCATACCCCTGCCGCCATGCCTCCCATCATGCTACGCTGTATCTTTTCTTAGTGAGACAGGGCTTCTCTGTGTAGCTCTAGCTGTCCTGGAACTCGCTTCATAGCCCAGACTGACCTCGAACTCAGAGACCCTCCTGCCTCTGCCTCTGCCCTCTGCCCTCTGGCCTCTGGCCTCTGGCCTCTGGCCTCTGGCCTCTGGCCTCTGGCCTCTGCCTCTGCCTCTGCCTCTGCCTCTGCCTCTGCCCTCTGCCCTCTGCCCTCTGCCCTCTGCCCTCTGCCTCTGCCTCTGCCTCTGCCTCTGCCTCTGCCTCTGCCCTCTGCCCTCTGGCCTCTGGCCTCTGGCCTCTGCCTCTGCCTCTGGCCTCTGGCCTCTGCCTCTGCCTCTGCCTCTGCCTCTGCCTCTGCCTCTGCCTCTGCCTCCCAGGTGCTGGGATTACAGCTGTGCAGCAGTCACCACCTCCTGGCTATGTATCCTTTCTTAAACTGTAAAGCAAATAAACCCTCTCCCTGCTGATGTTGATTTTTCAAGTATTTTTCCACAGCCCCAAGAAAGAGATACACTAATCCATTTCAGAAAACAACCCTGAGGTGGCCATGGGTCGGGCAGTGTATGGGTCTCTCTCCTGGCACAGGTGGAAATTGTCACCACACGGGAACTGGGTTTTTTATGCAGGCCTCCCTACTTGTCTAATGCTGACTTTGAACTCAGGATCCTCCTGTCTCAACCTCCTGAGCACTAGAGAACACAGCATACGCCACCACATTCAATTTGGGCCTTCATTCTCTTCTTGTTGTTTTCTTCTCTATTTTAATGGTCTCAAAATTCTATGACAGAGTTTTTTCTTTTCCTTTTTTTTTATTTTTTGGTCAAGCTGTTTCCATTAAAAAGTACTTGTTTGTAACAGTACTCTAACACACTTTTGCAGGGTTGACCTGATAATGTGCTAGCAATGGCTGCAATACACCAATTTACCACTAGATGTCAGACGGACATCAAGATGCACGGAAAAAAAAAAAAAAAAAAAAAAAAATTTTGAGTGCCAATCCTGAGGTGCGGGCCCAGCACTTGGAAAGCGGAGGTGGAAGATCAGAAGTTCATTATCATCACTCTCAGGTACACAGCAAGTCTGAGGCCTGCTTGGGACACGACAGACTCTATCTCAAAACCTAAAATCTCAGAATGGAAAAAGAATGTAAACAATTATCACTGTAACGTAAGGGTGTTTTGTTTTGTTTTGTTTTAAAAAAAAAAACTGTAAAAAAATTCTTTTTATTTAACATTTATTTACTCATTCATGGGGGGAGTTCCATGTGAAGGCCAGGTGTCGGGTACCCTTCTCTTACTCTGCCTTATTCCAGGCAGGATCTAGAGTTCACATTTTCAGCAAGGCTGGCAGGTCCCCGCAATCCTGTCTCAAGACTACCATGGCACTAAGGCAGCAGGCATAGGCAAGACCACGTTCTTGGTGTCTGGTCTATGAGTTAGGATCCAAAGCTAGGCTGTCATGACTGTGCAGCAAGCACTCCATCTCTCTGTCCCCAGAGTGTCCTTCTATGTAGCCCTGACTGTCCTGGACTTGTTACTTATACCAGGAAAACCTCGAACTCAGAGATCTACCCTCCTCTACCTCACAATGCTGGGATTAAAGGTGAGCACCACCAGGCCCGGCACAAGTGATGTCATTCTTGAGCCCACATCTTCAGTACCGCCTAAGCCTGCACAGCCCTGTCCTGCCGTCAGCATGCTCATATCCAAGCGCCCCTGGCCTCAGAAGGTTCAGGAATAGTGATCACCTGGAGCCCACTGTCTAGAGCCAGCCGTGACATTCACACTCCTGCCCGAGTTTTCACACGCAGCTGCTGCAAAGCAGGTCAACTCAGGCTACTTCTGTTTGAGCAGAAAAAACAAGCAAAGGAAGTGAAGCAATTGCCTAACCTGTCACGATGGCAGCCAAGTAAGAGCAGAACCTGTGAACACCCAGATAACTGGGGTGGATTGACCCAACTGAATCCACAACCCGACTGTGGACCTTAAAGCACCAGGCTCAGGTTACTCCTGGGCCTGCACCCTGTGTGTCCTTCTGTGACGAGACTGCATCTGCCACGCCACCTGCTCATACTTTATTTTGTATTCCTCACAAACATTAGATATATTATCCCTCCATGAATACATCTATGATGTCTTACATTTATTCTTTCTTAAAACACATAAACTATATATATAGTTATATATATACTATATACTATATTTACACTTGTTATACTCTCTGATAATAGATTTTATGTTTTCCACATGTAGGGAATGTATAGAAATATAGTAATTTTTTCCTTCCACGTGATGCTTTCTCTGCTTCCTTGCGATCTGACTCCACAGCCTATTCTGCACCTTCTCCTTTCCACTCCCTCACACACGGTACGCTAGAACCACCAACCCTCGGGTGTGCTCACCACACTCCTCTGACTGAGCCATCTCCCTTACCTGGGGTGGTACCTTGGGCTCTGCCAGCATATGGTGAACATGGGCTCCAGACACCGACACAAACGCGAGGGGCTATGTTCTGTACAACACATTTGTTTACGGAACACCCATGGATGACATGGATTGGGGCAGGGAGAGTTCTCCTGGCAGCACGAGGCCACCAGTCCCCAAGCCTTGAAGTCATTGGTGGTTGCTGACTGCAGAAGCCTAGCCAGGGAAGGCATACTCGTCCCCGTGTCCTGTCCCGGTCCCTGGGCCAGCCATCTTGGTGGGGCTGCATCCCTTCTCTGCCTAGCGGTTGGCACTGGGTTGTGCCAGGAAGTCACAGTGGACAACTGTGGACATTTTGATGCACTGTGCCTTCCAGGCTTCTGCTGAGTCACTGCTAATATTGCTCCACTGGCCAGTGCACATGGCCTGGCCCAAGTCCAAGATCAGAGTAGAAAGTCACCTTGTGCTGGGATGATGCTCACATCTGTAATGCCAGGGCCGGCCGGGCTGACACGTGCATGTTATTCCTGGCTTAGGAGGCCAAGCCCACCCTGGGCTACACAATGAGACTCTGCCTCAAAACAAAACAAAAATTACACTGCAAAGGGACCACCAAGGATGCTCGCCTCACAGGCATGAACCCCCAAATCCAATCCCTAGTACTGCAAACAAGAAAAAAAATGTGTGGGGTTATCAACAGGCAGGGCAATAATTTATGGCCGTTTTGTGGCCCACTATGCTAGCGAGTGGTTTGTGTGGTTGTTTTATTTTGTTTTGTGACAGTGACTCCTGATCCTCCTGCCTCCACCTCCTGGGTGCTAGGATGCCAGGCACGGACCACCACACCTCACCCACTATCCCAGCTGCTCTGGGTGTGGGAAAACTAAACGTAAATCCCCAAGCAGGAAACCAGACAGATCCAGAGGAATCCGGGTGGGAACATGGCTTAGTATGAGGTTCAGACCAGGCCAGAAAGGAGGCTGGCAAGGGTAAAAACAAGTGATCGGGTCGCCCCCAGGGCATGAGTTCAGAAACAGCGTCAGGGGTCAGGAGCCAGAGGACAGGGCCTTGCTTCAGAGATCACCTCAGCGGTTTATTAATTCCTGATCTGTATAAAAAGCTGAGACGCTGGCAGAGGGAATTGAGTCCCGGGGACCACAGAGAGTAGAAAAGGGCCGATGAGAAATGGAGATGTCACCCAAAGACTGCGATCACAGATGAAGACAGCATGCTCATACCTCAGTGGGGGTGCACAGGCAAATCATGACCCAGGGCCTGAGAACTTGGAGAAAAGCAACAAGCTGCAAATTCCAAGAAATAAACACACGCCGATCTACAGGCAGGGTTGGCACTCGGCTGAGCGGGTTTCAGTTGCTCTTCATAAAGTGCTCTGAACGCCCTTTGCTCTGAAGGCCTTGAGAGCTAGCACTACTGAGCTCGGAGCTGAGCAAGGGTGAAGCAGGGAGGCACGGGCAAGGCCTCTCCCCCTTAGATGTTGCCCTCCACCTAAGATGGTAACAAATTCCCCACTGCGCCTCCCTCCCTGCTAGGAAAAGATTAGTCTTGAATGACATGTTTGTCCCAGGCACTCAGATCTCCTCATCACATGGCATGAGTTATAATCATAACTTACTTAATGTCTTGTTGTTTTGTTTTTTGAGCCAGGATCTCATTCTGTGGGCCATACTAACCTGGAATTTACCACAATCCTCCTGCCTGAGCTCTTCTAATTCTAGGATTACAGATGTGAGCCACTCACTATGCCTAGCTTCTAATGTCTTTTTTTTAAATATTTATTTTATTATGCATACAATATTCTGTCTGTGTGTATGTCTGCAGGCCAGACATCATTATAGGGCACTAGACATCATTACAGATGGTTGTGAGCCACCATGTGGTTGCTGGGAATTGAACTCAGGACCTTTGGAAGAGCAGGCAATGCTCTTAACCACTGAGCCATCTCTCCAGCCCCTTCTAATGTCTTAATATTTTAAAAAATGTCAACTTCTGGGCTGGAGAGATGGCTCAGCGGTTAAGAGCATTGCCTGTTCTTCCAAAGGTCCTGAGTTCAATTCCCAGCAACCACATGGTGGCTCACAACCATCTGTAATGAGGTCTGGTGCCCTCTTCTGGCCTGCACACATATGCACAGACAGAATATTGTATACATAATAAATAAATAAATAAACCTTCTCTTATTAAAAAAAAGTCAACTTCTCCTATTCTCCATTTGTTTTACACTTTCCAAATCAATGTGCGCTAGTTCTGCTATTTAAGATTAGTTACCAAGAAAGGGAGTGCACACCTGGGATCTCAGTGCTTTGTGAGAAGAGGCAGGAAGGTTGTAAATTCCAGGATAAACAGATACCATCTCTGAAAACACAGAGGGGCCCAGAGCTCAAGGACACTGGCCTAGGCTCAATCTAACATACAAGGGATTTCTAAGACTGTCTAGGGGGGTGGGGGAGGAGAGAGAGAGAGAGAGAGAGAGAGAGAGAGAGAGAGAGAGAACTACCTGAAGAGGCCAGAAGGGGGGGGCTGTGTGCCCTGAGCTAGAAAGTGACCCGCAGTTATCCTCTGCCTGAGATGGGCCTGTCAACACAGGTGTTCTTCAAGAGCAGCAAGTGCTCTAACCACTGGGCCAGCTCACCAGGGTGTTTCCTGCTACTGCTCTAACCACTGAGCCACTGGGGAGCCTCGCTGTCCCTGACTGGGATTGGCTGCTCCTGGGACCGCTGTTCACTGCCTGAGGCCACATGGCCCACTGCCATTGCTCAGCAACCTGCACAAGTCCCTGCCTAGGACTGGCTGCTCTCAGGACCAGCTGCCCTCTGCCACCCCTCGGTGACCTGCAGCGTTTCTTCCGCTGCAGCTGCAGGGGATCCTGCAGCATTTTAATTAATCCATTACACATGAGTCATAGCACTGAAACCTGTGCTATTCCAGCCCTGAGGCAAGACCTGTCATCTGTAGTGAGCGGCACAGAGCTCAGGTGACACTGACAAATGCAGATCACTGAAAACAAAATGCACAGCTCGACCTAATGGTGCCCTCCCCCTAGAGCAGCGGGCACTCACCACAGAACTGGCAGGTAAATGCCAGGGGCCACAAAAGCCTTTGCTCCATCTTTTTCACAGCAGCGCTCCCTGTGTGTTGGCTTCTGGCAGTTTTGGCCCTTTGAAGCCAACAGTAACACTAGGACAGTTCTGAAGCTAATGTCACTCCACTCCAGGGCCACCAACCACAAATGCAATCACCAGAAAGCCAGGGACAAGTCTCGGCCGGCTGAAAAGCTGTCCCCATCCAAGGATACAATACCAAGGCTTGTAACCACCCCACCGGGGGAGGAGATATTATTTCTCCACTCAGCAATTAGACTTTGAGACAACAGATCTCCAAAAGTTAAAATTTCCCTGGGAACCTCATGCTGAGGGAAGGAAAAGGCTGAAGCCTGGAGCCAGCTCAAAGAGGAACAGACTTGGGATTCCGCTAGCTCATCAGGCCACCTGCAGGACCAGAAGTTAGGTGATAAAGCTCAGTGATGGGCGGGACCACACCTTGACCAGGACTGCTCAGTTATGTATAACACTTACCCTCGTTTAAACCTAAGCCTGTGTTAGGATCCCCCAAAACAGACTTGGGGGTCACTAGACTTTTTATCTGTTCTTCTTCCCCATATGGCCACACTGACCAAATCTCCTTCCTCTGCTCTCCACTGTAACTTGTGTCTGTAATTGGTGTGCCAGGATGCATTACTAAGCCTGGCTTGTGGGGCAGTCAGAGCCCAGGCTTTGACACTAAAACCTCTGGTAATGACGCTTTGACCAGCTACTGTTTCCAAAGCAAGATCTGCAAAGCCCTTATGTAAACTAGTCAGGTGGGACCAGAAGATGGCTTTGACAGAGGGCTGCCGCTCCTCCCGTCTTCAGGAACGGCGTTCTCAGGTGCAGCCAACTGCGGGTGGAAATAATAATCAGGAAACTGCTTCTCATCTGCATGGAACATGCGCAGACTGCTTTCTTGCCATTGTCCCCAACAATGCCGCACAGCTACTTCTGCAGCATGGGGACTGCATTGGGAATAACAAGCCACCTAGAGATGGTGGAAAGGACACGGGATGAGTGGGCTCAGCACAGACGCTGTGCCACATTCCTACAAGCAACTTGGGCACCTGTAGACTCTGGTGAGGGGGACAAATCAATATACTTCTACTAATGTATTTAAATATTCCCTGATGACTTCTACTCCCAGAAATATGGGAGGCCAGAATTTCTGAAGAGTCACTTTACAGAATCTGTACGTGGGATTCTGAGTTGGGATAATTATCACGCACCAGGGAGTAACCGCAAATGAAAAACTTCAAGGTTCACCAGTTAGCCGGAAACATGCTTTTAATGGGAAGAAGTCAAGAAATTATGTCTACTTAATGGTAGAGCACATGCTTACACATACAAAGCCTTGGGTTCAATCCTCAGTACCGAAGAAAGGAATGGAATTTACAGATGGCAGAAAATCATGGAAGAGTCATATGCCATCAGCAGGTCAAAAACAAGATGGCATCATTACACACATACTATGGCTCCCTAATGCCGTCAGGGATACAGAGCGCCAGAAACTCTGATTTACTGCTGCTGAGGGTGCAAAACAGTACAGCCACTTTGGAAGTTAGTGCAATGACTCTTTATAAAACCGAATGTAGACCACCCATCAGCTCCGCCAGAAGAAGCTGTTCTCTAACCAAGCCTCTGGAGCCAAGTAAGTCAGATCTGCCAGTGAACCTCCGGCCTTGAAAGTTGACAAGAGTGTCTGATAACCCTATCCAGCTCCTCGATGGCCAGTAACAACACCGCTAGCATAGCACAAGCCAGGAAACTGGTGGAGCAGCTGAAGATGGAAGCCAACATCGACAGGATAAAGGTGTCCAAGGCGGCTGCAGACTTGATGGCCTACTGTGAGGCACACGCCAAGGAAGACCCACTGCTGACCCCAGTCCCGGCCTCAGAAAACCCCTTTCGGGAGAAGAAGTTCTTCTGTGCTATCCTTTAAGTCTCAGAGGAAGATGAAGACCGCCAGGGCTCCAGGGACATTGATGTAGAGTTTCTAGCAAAGTGGGCGCCTTTCTGGTCTGCAGCATTTAAAGAGAGGAAGGAGAACCATCCTGGACACTCCAGGCTGTGCATGTCTAAAGAATTGTCCCCTTGTGAGAATGGAAGCCAATTCCACACCCAACTTTAGAGATCTGACCCTGCAGACCTGTCTGGAGGAGGGCAATGTATAAAAAACAAAATTGGTGTCACTTCTTTCCTGCTATCCCTTTAAGATCTTACATTTCTGCTTCATATTTAAAAACAAAATAAACATTAAAGCCAGTGTCTTGAGCTGAAAAAAAAAAGAATGTATTTTTGCCATTGAATCCAGGAAGTCATGATCTTCAGTATTTATGCAAAGGAACTGAAACATGTCTGCTCTAATCTGCACATGAACGTCTATAGCATCTCTATTCACAATTTGTAAAACTTGGAAGCAACCAAGGTACTCTTCAGAAGAGAAATGGATAGTCCAGGCAATGGACTATTGGTCAGGGTTCAGTGTGCTGTGTCATTAATACATGAAGGAAGCTTAAGGGCACATTGCTAAATGAAAGATTCCAACCGGAAAGAGCTACAAACTATCTTGAAAAAGACCAATTACGGAGACAGGGAAAACATCGGTGGTTGCCAGGGACTGGGGGAAGATGTAGGAACAGGCAGAGAACAGAGCATTTTTCGGGTCGTAGAACGAGTCGGCATGGTCCTATAACAGTGGACACACACGAGGGGGCAACCCACAGAATCCACGATACCAGGACAGAACCCTAATGACAATGATGGTCAAAGCAGTTTCATCTCCTGTGGGAGAGGAATGTTGAAGGCTGGGAAACAATGAATTGTGGGAAGTTTGAGGCATAGGAGAAATCGCTATACCTGCCTCTCAATTTTGCTGTGAGTCTAAAGCATCTCTAAAAGCTTAAGACGAGTGTTGCCAGCATCACTGTCACCGGAGGAGCTGTAAATAGGGATGGAGGCTGACATTCGCGTTGGGCTCTTCCACCCCTCCCTCGCTTGCCAAGGTAAAGGCCCTCTTCACCAAGGGAGCCCCTTCACTGCTAGATTCACGCTCTCTTCCAGGGAACCTTAAACCTGGCCTTGGTCGTCTCAGAGTGGCTGCAGAGCTGCCCCTATGGGGCAGGTAGTCACAGCCCTGAGGAGTGAGACAGCTGGAGAGGAACAGGGCCATCTGATTACCTCCAGATGTGTGAGCCTCCAGATGTGTGAGCTGGACCTACCTGATGACTTCCAGGGCGTTTGTTATCTGCTGCTGCTCAATGTCATAGAGTTTCACCTTGAAGCCTCCACTGGCAAACAGCAGAGCCCAGCTCCGACCAATGAGTCCACTGGGGAGAAAATTAAACAAAAAAAAGAAAAAACAGATTTAAGTCATTTACTGATCTAATCACTTTTCATGGCTCAGATAAAGCACTATAAAAATGATACAACATCCCACTCTTATAACATTTAACAAATGTCTGAAAAGTTGGTATAGCCTTTATGTTGGATTGTGTGGCACACAACACCTAGAAGGACTGAAAGGTAAAATGTGTGTCACCTCTGCAACACTGCCACTTAATAGACTTGAGCATCTATGTTGATACCATTCTGGGGACCTCAGAAGCCCTCACTCATGAATACTGAGGGACGAGTGCACTTTCCCTGCCCGCCCTCTGCCCCCAGCCAATGACGCCCACTTTCACTACATCCAAGCATAGCACAGGGGGCCAACACCATTGGTCACTCTTCAGGTCCCCCTCTGCTAGTCCCTGCAATGCTCTAGACAGAAGATGCTACCAGTTCCTCTTCCATGCTTGAGGAAAGGACGGTGACAAGGGACGAATCCCCGGCCGCTTGTCATGTGATGAGGAGATGAAGCCAAGAGGTCCGACTCAGGGGCCTTACTCTTTGTTTCAGGTTTTGTTTGTTTTTATAAAGAAGGGTAAGAATTTTTATCAAAAATATTTTTTAATATAGACTCCAAGAATGTGGTTAAGGGAAAGAAAGGCAGGACTAGAGAGATGGTTCAGCAGTTAAGAGCTCTGGCTGCTCTTTCAGAAGACCTGGGTTCAGTTCCCAGCATCCACATGGAAACTCACAACTGTCTATAACTCCAGTTCTAGGAGATCTGACAATGTCACACCAGTGTGCATAAAATAAAAGTTAAATAATTTTTTTAAAAGGGTTAAAATGTTAAACAGAGAGAAAAGGGCATTAAGAAAGACACACCAAAGAGCATGTGTGTGAGCTTCTCTAAGAAAACCCCCAAGATCTAACTTTTGTTTCCCTTGCTTCCAGACAAGGTCTCCTGAAACAGCCCAGGCTGGCCAGGGAGCTAAGGAAACCTTGCACTCCTGATTTTCCTGCCGCACCTCTGGAGTGCTGGGACTCCAGGCTTTTGTGTGAAGAGCAAACCCACAGCCTCCCCCATGCTAGGCCGCACTTTACCAGAGAAGCTATGACCTGGGCGAGTCTTTGCCCTATGTCCCATCCACCCCTCCAGACTTACTGAAGTCAAAGGACAAAAAGTCACCATTTCCAAAGGACTAAAAACAAAGTTATAAAACACAGCTGAGCCAGGTGGTGCACGCCTTTAATTCCAGCACTCGGGAGGTGGAGGCAGGTGGATCTCTGTGAGTTCGAGGCCAGCCTGGTCTACAAGAGCTAGTTCCAGGACAGGCTCCAAAGCTACAGAGAAACCCTGTCTAGAAAAAAAAAAAAGGAAGAAGAAGAAGAAGAAGAAGAAGAAGAAGAAGAAGAAGAAGAAGANAAGAAGAAGAAGAAGAAGAAGAAGAAGAAGAAGAAGAAGAAGAAGAAGAAGAAGAAGAAGAAGAAGAAGAAGAAGAAGAAGAAGAAGAAGAAGAAGAAGGAGGAAAAAGAAAAAAGAAAAAACACAGCTGGGTGCATTGTGTATATATATATATATATACCTGCTATCCCAGAACTTGGGGGTCAAGATGAGAGAGTCTTAAGTTCAGGGCCAGCATGGGCTACATAGTAAGTTATGTATCTAAAAAAGAAAGTCCAGAACACATCTAAGGTCCAAATCGGCTTCTAATCCCACTCTTCAATCAAAGGAAGCAGAACACCTTGGAGAAATGAATATTTCTAGGACTGAGCACACAAAATAAAGATGACCCTGGAGCAGTCTGCAACGCAGAAAGCCAGGAAGAGCTAAGGTAGGTGCCTGCCTGAGCCAGCACGTCGAAAGGACACATAGAACCATTAGGAGAGTGCTCAGGGACCAAGACAATGACGTTACATAGCAAGGAATCAACAAAAGCACCCTGTGAAAGAATCCCAATAGTTCATGCAGCCACACCACCCTCGGGGACACGAGGTCGCACTGTGATGGCTATTCTGGGTCATCAACTTGACTACATCTGAAATGCCCAACACCCTGGTAGCTGAATGCAACTCTGAGGGGATTTCCTTAACTGAATCTTTTGAATTGGGAATGCTTTAATCCAGAATTTAGAGGTGGGAAGAGCCACCTTTAATGTGGGTCACAGCTTCTGCAGGCAGCCTACATAAAGGACACGGAAGCAGGAAGCTCTCGTTCTGTGCCTGCTTGCCCTCTCTCTCACTTGCTGGGAGTAGAGTCTACTTCTTTGGGATTACGGCGTATACTGACGACCTCATGAACTGAACAGCCACTAGATTCTTGGATGTTCCACTGGGAGACAGCCATTGCTGAACTAGCTGTACCACAGTCTATAAGTCGCTCTAATAAATTGTATAAATGATGGATAAAAAATATATATTCATTCTATCAGATCTGAACCCTGACTAATCCACCCTCCATCCACACCCTAAATGCAACTTATGCAGAACCACTCTCAAAAGTATAGAAAAGAAACAGGGAGCAACTCAGCCGCAGAGAAGCAAGGCAAACAGGACCTTAGCCAGGTTGCTCAAGGTTACTATCAATCGTGGTGAGTCAACCAACAGTTCACTCCCAGGATGTGCCGTGATGAGAATGACCCTTGACCTCTCAACCCTTCCCCCACTGTCTGTCTAATCAGGCAAAGTAGTAGAAGAACGAACAGAATTCAACCTCTTGCCTGCTGTTCTTCAAAACTGTCTAGGTCACCACGAACAAGGAAAGTCTAAAAAACTGTCACAAGCTAGAGGTGTTGATACCGAAACAGTGAATGAAGTGGCCCTCTGCAGCTGTAAGGAATTAGCCCCAGGGCCCTCCTCCCATGTCCCAGTAGGTGGCCATGTTCCTTACCTAAAATGGTGTAGCATTTGCACAGAACCTATACCCATCATCCTGTATCTACAGATCCCGCCTTGATCATCCGTAAATAACTTACACAAAGAAAGTGCTATTGTACATGACCGTCATAGTACACTGTTTACGGCAGTGGTTCTCAGCCTTCCTAGTTCTGTGACCCTTTAACACAGTTCCTCACGTTGTGGTGACCCCCAACCATAAAGTTATCTCATTGCTACTTCAGAACTGTAATTTTGCTACTGTTATAAATCATAATATAAATATCTGTGTTTTCCAATGGTCTTAGGCAAGCACTGTGAAAGGGTCATTCAACCCCAAAGGAGTTGAGAACCACTGGTTTAGAGGACAGCCACAGAAAGAAGTCAGGCTTTTTTTTTTTTTTCAATTATTTTCAGTCCAGGTTTGGTTAAATCTGCAGATCTGGAGCCCATGGACACAGACATGTGAAGCTGGTCTCCCCTAGGGCTGATTCTAAGCAAACGCAGTTGTTGAGCATCTCCTATGTGCAGGCAGGCATGGCGTGGCTGAGAGTGCCACGCCATGACAAGTCCAAGGAAGACCTGGCTTCTGTCTAAACCCCAAGGCCCGTGAGGTTGAGCAGACGGTAACCAGGTCTTTCTGGTGCACCTCAGCCCGCAGATACAGTTTCGGCTCTGTGCAGGGAAGTGGAGAGGGCAGCGCTCATCAGCACCTTGACTTTGTTTGCTCTTGACAGGATGAACTCCTGCGCTCTGGGAACCTTTGTAATCTTGGCACACTGTAGAGCTTGGTAAGTGTTAGTTGTTGACAGCAAAAAAAGCTGACGTGCTAGTGACAAACTCCAGATAAAGGTCAGCGGTGCTTCCTGGGGCTAACCCAAGAGCAATGGCAGCTGGCTGGAGCGATGCAGAGCGCCAGCTGTATGCCAGGCGCCACTCCAGCTCTGATCAGAAGGAGCTGACAAGGGGCAGGAGACAGCCAGCTAACAGAAGTACTGGGAAAGAGGAAGTAGCAGGAAGAAGGGCCTTAAGTAGGGAGTGCAGACTGGGAGGCAGAGGAAATCCGAAAGCACCACCAGAGCCTATCTCACCAGGAAAAGTGCAGGAAGTGAGTGAGAGAAGCCGCCAGGAAGAAGTGTCCCTGGCAGAGCTGAAGTGCGTTTGCAGGTCCAGGAGAACAGGGTGACAGCGCTAGCGTGGAGGTGGCAGGAAACAGTGGCCGAGGATGAAGGCAGAGCAGGGGGCCGGAGGGGTGGTCTCATGGCATACACAGTGCCTCAGAGGCCATGGGAGGGTTTAGGTTTTTAATCTGGGTGTGATGGGTAGCCAGTGAAAAGCTTCAGCTTACCGATGTGAAGTGACTGGTTTTAAAAGTTCAAAAGGAACTCTCTGGAGCTGGGAATGGTGGTGCATACCAATACTCAGGAGGCTGGGCCAAGTGAGATTTGAGTTTAAAGCTATTCTGCGCTATACTGCAAGATGCTGCAACACACAGAGAGACACACACAGACACACACAGACACACACACAGACACACACAGAGACGCACACAGACACACACGCTACACCTCAAGATGCTGGGCAGCAGCAGCAACTGTAGCTTCCAGTCAGCCCTGCGATCGCTAAGGAAACTAACACTTCCCAGTGTGCTATGGCACTAGACTGGGATGTGGAGATGGGTGGTTGGATTTAGGCATTTTCCACTCCTTGTAGGCTAACCTTAAGATGTATTTATCCACACGGCCCTATCACAAGTCAGACAAGAAATGTCTGCACTTGGGTAAACATGGGAGTAAGGAGTACAGAAGTCCAGAGGCTGCTTCAAGAAGTGGTGATAGAGTGGACCAGGACGGAAGCAAAGGGGGAAGAAGAGTGGTCGGCTGGGTTCTAGATTCATTCATATCTTCTTCAAACATAATTGCTGATGGTCCATATGATGGGGGGATCAAGGATGATGCCAAATTATATTCCAAGAACAAGAAAGAGTGAGACATCACTATTGATGAAGATGCTAGGAGAGTCAATCAGAAGTGCAGGGAAGCCAATTTTTTTTTGTTTTGTTTTTGTTTTCCGAGACAGGGTTTCTCTGTGGCTTTTGAAGCCTGTCCTGGAACTAGCTCTGTAGACCAGGCTGGTCTCGAACTCACAGAGATCCGCCTGCCTCTGCCTCCTGAGTGCTGGGATTAAAGGCGTGCGCCACCATCGCCCGGCGGAAGCCAATTTATTTAAGCGGGAAGCCAATGTTAAAGCGGTATGGATCTAGCACATAACTGGTTATGAACTGGGTTCCTAGTCAAAGCCGGGCCTCAGATGTCAATATGCACGCTTGCAAGAAGGAGACTGATAAGATTGCCAAGGGAGTGAAGGTTGATACAGAAGTCAAAGGGTTGGGCTTTGGGACAGTCCAGCTTTTTGTTTTTGAGATAGGGTCTCACCAGATAGCCCTGGCTGGCCTGGAACTCATTATATAACCAGGAGGATGTTCGACCTCTAGTGGGGAAGTACAGTGCTGGTCAGGTGACCCAAGCAAGTACAAGCAGTTGCATACAGGACTGCCCACCTGAGTTCAATCCTAGATCCCACAAAGTGGCAAGAGAAAACTAACTGCTGAGAATTGTCCTTTGACCTCCACACATGCCCTGTAGCATACATGCACATGAGCAAGTGCAATGATGGGGGGGGGAGAAAGAGATGATAGACAGATAACAGATATATAGATGATGGATGGATGGGTGGATGGGTGGGTGGGTGGATGGGTAGACAGACAGATGGCAACCAAATGAGAAGGTGTGAAGGGGGCTGAGAAACCAAGGAGAAGATAGCACCCCCCATCTGTGTTCACCTGATAGGGTTCAGATTTGGACTGAGACTCAGTCACTGGGTTTAGCTAGATAAATAGGGATGTGGATGAAGGTGAGCACAGTCTAGGGTGTCGGTGTCAAGAAAAGCCTACCTGGGGAGGGTCTAGGTGAAAGGGCCTCTGGATATTAGCTACCAGTCTCTCAGGAACAGAAGGAATAGGTGGGCGTGCTAATATATTTGGCAGTTTCTCAACTGTGGGAGTTTTGACTCCATGTTCTGTGATATCAAAATCTTCTATCCTTAATATGTGTTATATTTTATATACAAAATTTTTAATCAAACTCTTAGGGCTCTAGATGTGCAGTGATCAGTTTGATCAATATGGTAGACTTTAGCCATGTGCAACTATTAAAATTTAAACTACAGTCAAGTAAATGTTAAAGTTCAGTCAATGAGCAGAACTGAACACAGTTCAAGAACTCAGTGTCCACATTGTCACAGTGGCTACCAGGATAGGCAGCAAGGTTGGACAGAGGTCTTTCCATGCCCACAGGTCAGACACTGGAAGACCCTGCATCCTTTGGAACATGCTGACTTCTCCTGGTCATTACTCCCTAAACAATAAGAACTGTTTACATAGCATTCGCACTATATTACTTACTAAGGTCCTACATCAGATGGGGTGGAAATGACTTCTGGAATAGCTCAGCAAGGAACTTACCCAATATTTGCAGGGCCCAGTCCAGTCCCCAGCCCTGAAGGAAAATGAAAGGAGGAGGGAGAGAGGGTAAGGAAGAGGGGGGCAGGCCAAAGAGGGGGCCAGGGTGTAAGGCATTTGCCATGCAAACCTAATCTGAGTTTGATCCCCAGGCCCCACATAAGAGCATCACCTCTACTCATTCTCTCTCTCTCTCTCTCTCTCTCTCTCTCTCTCTCGCTCTCGCTCTCGCTCTCGCTCTCGCTCTCTCGCTCTCTCTCTCTCTCTCTCTCTCTCACACACACACTAATAAAAAAAATAATTACTTTTAAACTTGTATAACTGCTTTAAAAAAAAAAAAAAAACAGTGAACCCCAGCCAGGTCTATTTTGCTGCTGTTTTTGTTTGGGACTCTTGTCCAGGTTGGCCTGGAACTTGATGCTCATGTCTCCGCCTCCTTGGGATTACAGGTGTGCAGGTGTGCAGCCTTGCCAACCTCTCCATCCAGGTTTAAGGAACTGATTTACATCCTGGGCACAACCTGTTAAATGGATGTTCCCTGGAATCACCTACGGGGCCCTGAAAGACAGAGATGGAGAGTGACAGAGAAGACAGAAATAACGTTAATAGAGACAAGATACACGGTAGAAGGCTGGTAATAGATACTATACAGACAGGTGGATGATTGACTGATCGCTGGATAGACAGATGGGAAAGCGGGGTGGGGAAGGGTGAGGGGAGGCCACTTCGTGTTCATAAGGGTGTTGTAAGCAAAAGACAGACAGAACTTTCTCATTAGAAGTCAGCATAACATCCAATGACCCCAGGTCATCCTGTGGTCCTTAAGATGTCCCAAGCCCCCTCCTTCTAAGTTCCCTGACCATGAGTTCAGATAACTGATTGATAGTAACTCCTCCACGTGATACACCTGTTAGGTGCAGGTGGAACACGACTTAACTCCCAACATGAGATCCAAACAACCCTGGCCCTTGACCCTGGTGCCTATCACAGAAGGTGAGGCAGCACAATTCACCACAGGGCAAAGGGCACTTTTTATATTTCCCTGACCATTCAACCACAGGCATCCACCTGGAAGGACAAAGGTGCAGTTACTTTCACAGTTCTGTGAGAGGAAAAAATGGCCAGAGGCATCCTGACACTTTCCTCCCAACGGTTCCAAAGGAAACCCCTGAACTTGAGACTCATCTGCAGACAGGGCAACGGGTGGGCAAAAGCATAAATGGGGACATGAAACCACTTCTCAAATAGCTATCAACCAATATGAGTTCCTAAGTTGTTACATGTTGATAGAATTGGAGACCGCTAGCCAATAAAAAGTACACATAAACGCCCCCTCCTTATTGAAAAAAAAAATAGCAATGAAGGAAAAAAGGGAGGCATGAGCACAGAGCTCAGTATGGATGAACTTGGGCTGTAAATGACTCGGCCTCCTGCCGTGAGACACACTTACACAAAAGCAAGGAAAGCCAGGTGTCTCGTCAAGGGTTCTGCCCCCAGAGGCTTTCCAGCCTAGCCCCACGGTACATATGAACCTTCCTAACAACCCAGGCCAATCTCTATCAATTACTATCATCGTGGGTAAATCACTTATCTGTGTTCTTAATAAAAATAAGGGCACCGTTTTCAAGCTGGGAGTGGAGGCACTCCAGTAATGGGAGGTAGAGGCAGGAGAATTATGAGTTCAAGTAGCCTCAGCTACTTAGAGATTTTGAGGCCAGCCTGAGCTAGACTGAGACTCCCGTCTCAAAACATTAGAACACAGTCTTCGCAGGATCATAGCTAATATTCGGTTAGTACTTGATGCCAAGAACCTCTGAATAGCCCTGCAACACTGAGCCTGCACTGACAAAGGTAGAAACCTCGAGGTGACCCACACCGACTTGAGGAAAACATTAGCTCTCCTCAGGGCTCCACCAAGCCACAGCCGCCACTGCGTCTCCTGCCAGGCCAGCTCCGGAGCGCAAGTGCAAAGCGCGTGGAAGAGCGAGGTACAGCCTGATGCCCACCCGAGGCACCCACGGCCGCCCGCGCGAGGCCCCGCGTTCCGGACGCTGCCAGGACGCCAACCATTGCAGCGCAGCGCCACTGAGACTTTTACCTGCCCACGATCACCACACCGCCCGCTGGGGGGGACGCCATGGCAGATCCGGGCCTGGCGGCACAGCTGAGCAACCAGAGGGAGAAAGCGGAGCAGACCGGCAGTGAACCGGAATGGGGTTGGGCGCCAGGGTGGGCCCGGGCTCCAGCGTGGGCGTGCCCGAGCCTCGTGAAGCCGTACCCATTGGCTGCCAAGCTCAGGGGCGGGGCCAAGGCGCAGGAGGGCGGAGCCTGCGACTAGGCGGAGGGTTGTTCCCTCTATCTAGCATTGAGAACTGGGGAACTTGGATGAAACCGGGAAGACCGGACACTTCTAAGCTGAGCAATTTTTACCTTTTCGTTTTTAACAGGAAACCGTTAAAACAGTGTCCCCAGGAGCGGATACTACCAAATTGGCGCAAAGCTTTACCCCGGAGGCGCTTTCAAGAAGATATTCCTTTAAAAGCATTTAAGACAGTTCCAGTTCGGCACTTTAAGGACATTTGTGTCACTGTTTACATTCGACTCCACACTGGAAATGCAAGTCTGGTGAGATTCCTGCCGCCTGGCTTCCCTGATGTCGACTGAGGCTCGGGTACTTAGGGACACCTACAGAGGAAAACTCCGAATATGTCACTCTGAGAAACGGAAGGACGCGTTTGAATTCCTTGTAAAGTGCCACACAGCCTCTGCGTGCCTTATTTCCTCCTTTCCTCCTTGCCGAGGAGTGCAGTGTGGCCACGTGCGTTGCGTTTGAAAGAAAAGAAAGAAAGAAAGAAAGAAAGAGAGAGAGAGAGAGAGAGAGAGAGAAAGAAAGAAAGAAAGAAAGAAAGAAAGAAAGAAAGAAAGAAAGAAAGAAAGAAAGAAAACTCCAAGCCCCCGAGGGGCTTGCAGTATCACAAATGCTCTCCCCAAACCTGGGAGGCTAAGCCAGGATTTCCAGCCCACTCTGGGCCTCACATAGTAATAGCAAGGAGGGCAGGGGCAGAAAAGAACTTGCCTAGTGTCCTGGCTCCTGGTTCTTTAGTTAAGAACAGAAGACAGAGAAGGAGGGGAATCACACCGCCTGGCACAAGCTTTGTGTTCACACACCACAATCAGAAGTGGAAACACATCGTCGTCAGAAGTTTGGGCAAACAAGAATACACAACCACTGACAGATTCAGGAGAGTGGACCCTTGCCTTATTCCCACCCCTTGTGGAGAATATGGAAAGAGGAACCTCTGAAGAGGTTAAGGTTATTTCTTTGATTGTTGTTTTTCCACGACAGGGTTTCTCTATGTAGCCCTGGCTTTCCTGGAACTGGCTTTATAGACCAGGCTGGCCTTGAACTCATAGATATAGTCCTGCTCTGCCTCCTGAGTGCTGGGATTAAAGGCGTACGCCACCACCACCTGGCTACCCACTACTCTTTAATTAGATTTGAGGCCCCACAGATGGGTCAAAAGTTTACGGCTGGAGCAGTCACAGGCCTTAGAGGGAAATTTGTTTTTGCAAACGGACATGTGGTCAAAGTGTCTTTTCTATATACGCTCAAACAACCCCACACTCAATCAAGGGTAAAAAACTAATCCAGCAGATAAAACCTCAAGCCCTGGGTATATTATCCAGGGCTCCTTAGAGGAACAGAATTTATAGAATGTAATTTAGAGTGGTTTACAGGCTTTGGTCCAGTTAGTCCAACAATGCCTGTCTCCCAGTGGAAAGTCCAAGAACCCAGTTCAGTCCATGAGGCTGGATGTCTCCGCTGGTCTTCAGTACACACTGGAAACCCGAAGAAGTATGCTCTACTGCATGTAAAGGAATGGACTTGGAGCAAGAGAAAGCAAGCAGGCAGAGAGCTTGCCATCTTCCTTCTCCCATGTCTTTTCTATGGCTGCCAGCAGAAGGCATGGCCCAGATAAGAGGTGGATCCTCCCATCTCCAAAGATCTGAATTAAAGGTCTATTTTCCCAACTCAAAAGGTCTGGATTAAAAGTGGGTCTTCCCACTTCAAACAATGTAATTAAGAAAAAAAATCCTTCCCAGTTGTGGCCAGCCGCTGGAATCTAGTCCAGATATAGTCGCGTCAGCGACCAAGAACAGCCAGCACACCTGGGAGTTGAAGATAACTGGGAACTTCTGGGTCATAAACTGCTTAAAGGAAAAAAGAAATGCTGTGTTCAACTCAGATCTGTGTCCTGAAGGAAACAGCTGGAAAAGGTTAGACCAGAGTCAGGTCCTTGCTTGTAATGCAGTGGAGACGGTGAACGGGGAGCCAGGCCACCTCCCAGCCTCAGGGCCGGCAGAGTGTTTGGAGGCAGCTCAGCATCATTCTGGTGACATGAGCTGTTACTAAAGCCCATCATTGGACCGCCTGATGAGCTAACGGATACCAATGTCTGTGAATGATTTGTGTAGCCCAAAGGCAATATCAAGAAGGTTTGGGTGAGGCCTCTTGAGTTAAAAAAGTGGAGAGAGATTCAGCCAGGCCAGTCGGGTGGTGATAATACAGTCCTTAAATCCCAGCATTCAGGAGGTAGAGGTAGGTGTCAAAAAACCAAAAAGAGAGAGAGAGAGAAAGAGAGAGAGAGAGAGAGAGAGAGAGAGAGAGAGAGAGAGAGAGAGAGGGAGGAGAGGGAGGGGGGGGAGGAGGAGGAGGAGGAAGAGGAGGAGGAAGAGGAGGAGGAAGAGGGAGGGAGGGAGAACAAGTTCTGCCTGACAATCTTTCTCCTTCTCTGGCCCCTGAAGGCGTAAGTCACAAACAATGCCACACCAGTTTGGAATTATGATTAATAGGGTGGTATTTATTTAAAGAGGAAAAAACTTACAGATCACTGTCTTGGACAACAGCCCTCTGTGCAACCAGGAAGGGAGTCTAGTCGCCACGGAGCAGGAAGTGAAGAGAGAGAGCAGAGGGAAGTAGCCGCTTTTTTAAAGGGAGAGAGACCACGCCCCAATGGGCTGGCATCTCAGCAGCTATTGGTTGGAGGAGCTGAAGGACCTACCGCAACACCTCCCCCTTTTGTTTAAGTAAGAGAGTTCTAAACCTACTATGAAATTATATACAATAAGTAGAAATATCCTATTCTAACTAGCTTAGGTCTTGTATAATAAATAACTTGGCCAAGTCATGAGAGAAAAGTAACTACATTTATATAGTCTTCAACCCCATCGAAGATCTGAGAAGGGAAATAATGTTACCTGGGTAATTAGGAAGTTCAGTAAAACAACTTCCAAAACATGCAACAAATCACAGAGACAACAAGCTACCTGGGCAATCACCCAAAGTCATGTTTGCCGCGTTGAAGCAACCAACTTTGGCTAAGGCCTAACATAACTGACATACCATTTTCAAAGGCAAGCAACTTTTCAAAACTATCTCTCGGGAATAGATTGGTGCTGCCAGGAGCAATTGTGTCTCACTACCACAAAACTCTGAGTTAGATTAAAGGCCATTTTCTACAGCTCTTTGAAGAGGTTGAAGATTATCTATCTATACTGAGTACAATCTCTCTCTATATATAAAGAACCTGATTAGTCTAATTATAGATGACAAACTTAGATGACTATTAATTTATATAATTCTCAATATCTATCTAACTTAAAGACTAAGACAATAAACAACTGTGTAACAAATGAGGATAATGACCTCCAAATATAAACACTGTACAAATATACATTGCAATATGGTAAATATATATCAATACACAAACATTATATAAGTATCTTAATCAGAGGTAGAAATGTACACTGCAATATGGCAAATATATACAATATATATATCAATACATTATATGTCAATACATAAAAAAATGTTTAAAACAGAGGTAGAAACATGCATGCATAAAATAGTCAATATAATTTAACTTTGTATCAATATATAAGAATCTATACCAATATATTTGTCTAAAAACAGTAACTCACAATTATAAAGCTATTATCCCATCATCCCTCTTTTTTTTTTTTCAAACTGATCCCTGAGCTTATAAAATCCCTCCCCCAACCTCCCAACCCCTAAATGATGTCCCTAAACCCAGGGGCAAACTTTACTGGGAGAGGGGACATCGTCCTCTAGAATTACTTCCAGCTGTCATGGGGGCGACGTTCTTTCTGGGGGATCCTGTGAAAGTAAAATGATGGTTAAATTTCAAGATCAATGTCTTTTAAAATTGCAAATAGTCTCTGAGTATTTTGTGGAGGTCTGGCCAGAATGTTGTACAAGATGTGCACCATTTCAGCTAACCAAGTTGGGATCGTCTTGTGCAGCTGGTACCCAAAACAGGTCTTGTAGTAGCGCTATCAGTATCATGACGTCATATCAACCAGGTAGAGTTGTTGTTGTGGGGCCCCATCTTCTTCCTGGAAACTTCAAATGTCACTTCAGGAAAAACTCATTGTTCATTGTGAAAAACTTAAACATTAATCATATAGACATATATAGACATACATAGATATATTCAATGAAAGGCATAATAGATATATACAATGAAAAGTATGATAGATATGAAGAAAAACAAAGATGTTTTCTAAACTCATATTTCTTTCTGTCCCATATCATGGCTCTTGACATGAGACAGAAACTCCAGAAACTCTGGGTTTTTCTCTTACTAACAGGCTTGGAATTGGAGAGGGACTGAGCCAGAGTCCAACTTCAAAACCAGCTCTATAAATTTAGAAATATGGTTTAATATATTTTACTTACACAACCCATTCAGTTTTCTTGATATTTCCTATTGGGCAGGTATTTTTCCATCTGTCAGTATCCAAACATCCAGGGTCCCTTGAATTTTTCAAAGATGAGTGTTTTCCTGTGGAGATAAGAACAGAACCCTGCCCCCATTCTATATGTTTTTCTTACCACCTGTATGAATATCATCATTGTGGATGAGTTGTCATTTCTCCTTTCCAAGAGGTTTCTCCTCTTCAAATCGAAACTTTATTAATTTTGATGGTATCCACAATTTTTCTTCTCCTGTGGAAACAAGAGCAAAACCCCTTCCCCAACGTAGCACATCTCCTGGCTTCCATTGAGAGGTCAGCACATCTTTGAAATAAATCGGTTGATTTAGTTCAGCAGACTTTTCCATTATCCAATGTCTTTCTGCTGCTGTCGTTCCTTTCTCATTAGCGTTAAGAAAATTCAAGGTTAATAAAGCATTATGTAATCTATTT